TCAGTTTCATCACAAAATTCATATTTTTTATCAGCAAGTCTTCGTTTTCGAAATGAACTAAGTTTCTCACAAGTTTCTTGTGCTTCATCCGTGAATTCATATGCTTTTTCAGCTTCAAGAATGAGCTTGTGTGTAGCTCTTGTTCTAGACTGTGCCGAATTCACAATTGGAGGAGGAGAATGTAAGTTAGATCTTTTGCGTGGACTTGGATAACGGAAGGATCGCGATATGGGAGGTGACATTAGTCGCGAAGAACATGAAGAAGATGGACTCATAGAAACCGAATGAAGAGGAGAGTTAACGGAAACGATATTATTGTCCTTTGAAGCACCAGGTTGAGGGGAACTAGATCGTTGACTACGTGTGCTTTTATGACTAGATTCTGAATTCCGAGTTTTCAAAATATCTGAGGGCGGCGTAAGAATTGGCGAAGACCATATCATAGTTTTGAGATCAGAAGGAAGTCTTTGCGGTGTAGATCGTGGGGAACACGAAGGATGTTTTACTAGTGTAATTAAATCACTACCGATATTGAGCTCCTGAGACATATCCTCGCAGAAATCCTGTAAGATTTTATCTCTGACCGAGATTGCTTGCTGTTCGATTCGTGAGATTGGACTATCATTTCGACATTTACACTCGCTGCTGTCAGAGCACCCGCACGACTTAACACCTACGGCATCAGCAGACTTATTTATATCACAGACACAGTCGCTTTGATTGCTGCTTGAGGTATTTAACGAATCACGGCCTAACTTATCTAATTTAATTGATTCTTCTAAAAAGTCATGTTCTATATTTGATTCGCATCGCGGCGATTGATCAACTGCAGCACATTCAGATGTGCTTATTTTCTCGTCGGAAATCTCGTAACGTTCCACAGTTTTAGTGTAATCCAATTCCTCGACATCACTCATGTCTAACGGCATTGTATCAGAAATTACAGTATCCTGTTTATCGTTAGACTTCTGGTTTTTCGATTTTGGAATGTCCAAGTCCACCCTGAGCACATGTAAAAAGTTGCCTGTGTTAACTACCACATGATTCCAATAATTCAAACAGACAGTAGCACGGAACCTAGGATATGGAGAAATTACTTCATAGGTGGTATGGACAGTGAGTCCATGTTGAAGACAGTTACACCGTACACAACCATCCCAGTTTGCTGCTAACTCTGTAATAATTTATAAAAAATATTTTTTAATTTATTGTAACTTATAATTTACTGTAATTAATATTATTAATTTACTGTATATAATTAATTTACTGTATATTAATATTATATATTAATATTACCTTCACCTTCTTCTTCATAAGATGCCACTACTTTTAAACAGTCTTTACAATTTTCAAGAGATGGTACTGTAGTTATTGTTAAGTATGCTCTATCTGTTGGTTGAAGATGTAGCCAATTTGTACTGAAAATTTATACTCATTAATTTCTTTGTAAATATGAAAAATTTAAACAAGATAATTGAATGAAATTTTACCAAAGACCATGTATTACTAGTTTATTTCTTTCCATTGGCCATTGAGATATTACAATACTGAGTTCTCTATAGATAGTGTAATTACCAAAAAGCGTAACCTCTGCAACTTTACGTGCAACATGATTTGGAGTAAAAGCCCACCAATGTAACAAGTATTTATATAAAGAAGTAGTGCCACTCACATCCATAGTATATGTGTATGTAAGTAAAAACTGACCGCATTGTGTCAATCCCATTACAATATGTCTTTAATAATAATAATTATTTTTATTACAAAATTGATAATGAAAGAATATTTTCTCATTTTATTACATTTTCTAATGATATATAATTATTATACATCATTATTATTAATTATAATTATATATAAATAACATACCCTGCTTCTAATGCTGATTTTGGGATTACATGTAACAGTGGTAAATGTCTCCATGAAGGTACAGTAGCAAACAGTCTTTCTTCTGAGGCATAGTTGTGTGCTGATAAACAACCTCTGATCTATAAAAATTAATCTCTTTTTACAATATTCTCATTGTTTTTTTTCAATTTTTAATCATTTTACTTCTATCTTTTATTTTTTGTTTTTTGTATGTATCATACTTTGTTAATTAATTCATTAATTAATAATTATAATAGGAAAAAAGTAAAGGAGATAAAAAATTATGATCAAGAACAAAAGAATATTTTTTCTTGTAACCATTTAGTATTAAACATAATATTTCATTTGACAATGAATATACAATACTGAAGAATAAATGAAATCTTTTCTTCAATTTTATTATAATTCTTTCGTTTTAAAAAATTATTTAAGTTTTGTGATTATTGGACTCTTGTCAATTTCATTAATATACGTATATGTTAAAGGTTAAGCAACCTTACCTCTCTTAAAAATAGCTTCTGTAAAAAATGTTTTTTACTGCGACGATGAGATAAACATGGTTTTTGGCCCACTATAACATATTCTGATTTTTCAGAGGTAATATCAGAGAACCATTCATTACAACAATCTGAGGTAGTATCGGAAGACGATGCATCCGCCATTTTTAAATAACCCTACTGAATATATATACGTGAATAGCATTGGAAAATATAATTCACTTCGCTTTACGAAACTTTGTCACATGGATGCACTAATCGAATTGTTTGTTACGTTCTTTTTAAAAAAAGTATTTAGCAACGTAAAGATTAATTTGTCAAGAAATTTGATTTAAGAAATTGTGATTCAAAAAATTTTAATAGATGAACAAAATATAAAAATTGTACATATGGGTTTTAATTTTCATTGCCTTTTTACCATTGAATAAAAATATATGGCATCTTTATAAATTATAAAGGGTAAACAACTTTGCTACTATATTATTAATTTATCGAAATTTATCGCATATATTTAAAAAAATATGGACATTACATTGGATGATAGATTAAATGTATTACAACAAATAAGTCAACGAAAACTCGTTGAAATCTTGGATGCAATTCCTGGAAGCAAAGACTTAGTGATAGAACAAAAGCTTATGAAAATTTTGGACAGTTTTGTAGGCGTTTCTGTGCTTAAGTAATTGTTTTTTTTTTTTGTATGTACTTTAAGCAAATTATTTTTCAAAAAAAACATTGAATGACATTATTTTTTATATAGACGTTATGGTGTTGAAAAAATTTATAAAATGGAGCAAGGATTAAAACTTTCAAATACACAGCATATATTTTTGATTTCAAGTGATTTGATTGCTTGCAAGAGAGTATTAGATCAAATACAATCAGAGATTCCTCTAAATATTACATCTCATGTACAGCCATATCATCACATTTTAGTTACTCCATTTGTGCCTACTATTCTTAATTCAATAATTGAAGAAGAGGGTGATTATTTTATTATATAATTAAATATTGATACTTCTTAAAGTTCTATTATAATAAAAATGTTTATTTAGGATTATCTGGATTAGTTACATTACAAACACTGTCTTGGGAATTCATAAGATTAGATGGAAATATCTTATCTTTAGAAAACTGTATGTTTATTGATCTTTATTATCACAAAGATACTACATTGTTACCAGCATTAGGACGTAGCTTATGGTCATTACAACTTATACTTGGTTCACCTAAATTAACAGTTTCCATTGGAAAATATAGTCAGCAGATGCTTAAAATTATGGAATCTATGAGACAATGTTTAGGTTCTTCTAATATAGAAAACGAAATAGGAGCTTTGATTATAATGGACAGAAATTATGATTTGATTACACCTCTTTTAACACCTGTAACTTATGCGGGATTATTACATGAAGTAGTAGAAATAAATGTTGGTACTGGTATTTTGGGCAAGTCTCAAACTAAACTAGATCCTGATAAAGATCAAATTTATGGAGAAGTAAGAGATACTCCATGCAGCGAAGTTTTTCCAATTTTACATGGAAAGGCTAAGTCATTAAAATGTATATTTGTATATTTGTATATGTTTTTTTTAATATTTCTATCTTAATAATTAATAATATTTTAATGATTTATATTAGTGGAACAAAATGCCATACAAACGATGAAATTATCTGAAATGGAACGATATATAGCGACAAAATTACAGAAAACTAGAGATCTAACGCGACAACTTGCTTTTCACATTTCTGCTTGTCAATTAATAGCAGATACATTAAGTTCTGACTTTCAAACTCTACAAAAAATAGAGAAATGTATACTTGAATGCAAAGAGAGGAAAGAGTGTTTGAATCATATTGAAAGATATATAAGTATATATAAGTATATATAATGTATAATTTCTTTTATTAAATAATGACGTTATTTTTATAATAATTAATTTTTCAGATAATCATCCATTAAGAACTTTACGTTTATTATGCTTATTGTCAATTGCAAGTGATGGAATTACACAAAATGAGTTGCACTGTGTACAAAAACTTCATCTTCATGCTCATGGTTATAAGCATATACCTTTATTTTATAAATTACAAAATATAGGTTTATTAAAATGTAGATCAGAAAATATTTTACATAAATTACCAAATTGGAGCAGTGAATGGAATAATAATGCACAAAAATTAAAATTATTACCCAGCTATTTCAAACAAACAGAACAAAAAGGTCGTTCGTGTCCAAGTTATGTATTTAATAATGTTTACATACCATTAATTGTTAGTAATATTATTTACTAATTTAATCTATTTATTATAATGTTTAATATCAAATGAAAATGAAAATTTTACATTCTATAGGCTCAAATATTAAATATTGTGATAAATCAAGAAAAAGATTTCAAAAGTCTTGAAGAATTAACAAATTTATCCAATTGCATCATAAATGGTCAACGTGGTTCATTATTACCAAAAATGATAGTGATATGCATTATTGGAGGTATTACTTATGCTGAAATAACTGCTTGTAGATTTATAGAAAGATCTACTGGAATTCGACTTGTACTGACATCGGATAATATAATAACAGGTAATAAAGTATTTGAAAAAATACAAGAAATATGAACACTTCAAGATGGTAATTAAAATTCTGTAATAACTAATATTGTTTATTTTGTACGATAAATCGAATCTTCTTATATGTAAATAGTAGCAAATGGAAGTATGAATATACATTAATATATAATTATTTATATACTGTTATTTTCAACATTATTTAAATGAGTGTATACATGATACAATGATAATTCACTTAAACACCCACATAAATAATATTCAATGATTTAATAATTTCGATTTTCTTCTCGATTACGATCTCGATCACGATCACGTCTCTGACGACCCCAATCTTGTCCTTGTCGATTGTAATTTTGTCTGTCACGAAAGTTTCCTTGATTTCCTCTTGAAAAGAAATTTCCTACCATTTAAAGTGTTTACATCATTAGTATTTTATAATTTTATAAGTTCTTAAAATCGTTTGATGAAATTTGTATAGCTTACCTTGTTTCATTTCAAAAATTCGTTCATTAGAATCTACGAAATTGTTTACTTTATCAGTAAGCTGTAATGCTAATGATTGTAAACGACTTGGTTCACTACGGTGCATTACAACAGTTTCAGTTGGATCATCCAAAGATGCCATAAGTTCTTCATTAATGATCATTTTACTTATTATGGAATGAACAACAGGTCGCTTCAATTGAAACATTTCTGCTAATTTCGGCATTGAGATTGAATCATAAACATGAGAGTACGTGAATAAATATGTTCTCAAAGCCTCTTCTTTGTTCAATCTTGTGAGCATATCACGAACTTTGTCCGCTTGATAAAAGAGATCCCAAACTTTAGCATTCATTTTTTCATTAATAATAAAATTATTACAAGCCAACCAATTTCCATTGCGCATTGCTTTTGCTGCCGCGACAACATGTTCTCTCATAGATTCTGGAGGTCCAACTAATGATTGACGTTCACTAGATCTTAATTGTTGATAGAATGTCTTGGAAATCATTCTTCTTCTTGCATCAAATTCATGTGCAGCCATGTATGGAATTTCAATGAGCATCGCAGAAACTAGATAAACACATTCAAGAAGTTCTAAATTAATGTGCATATGGAACGGCATTTGCCTTTGTTTTTCGATCTTTTCTTGTTCTTTACTGCGTTCATGTTGTCTTTGAGGAAGAAGACCTTGTGCCAAAAGTTCCTTCACTTTACCAGTTACCATTAAATCAACTAAACAATTATGGGCATCTTTAATATTCGCATGACGGAAAGCACATAAGCCCAGATGAGCAATAGTTCTATTGTATAAAATCTATGATTGGAAAAAATGATAAGTAAAAATAAAATAAAATTTAATTTTATCATAAAAAATACGAACTTGCGTAGCTGGATCAGAATGCTGAATAGTTTCCTGTAAATGAGACATTAAAATGAGATCACGTGCTTGAAACCAGTTATCATGAAGAGCATGATGATAAACATGAGAAAGAATTGCACGAGTTCTAAGTCTATCTGTTCCGTCATGTGCATAAACATATTTACAAAGCTTTTCCATAACTTGTACAGATGTTATAACATCTGGACCAAGTTCTCCCTGAAAATTTTTATATTTTTTTTTTAAATTTTATCCTTAAAATTTAATTATTATTATATTATTAAAATTTATTATATTAAATTTATTATATTATTAAAATTTAATATTTAATTTAATTAAATATTTAAATTAAATTAAATTATTATATATTTACTTCTTTTTGTTTAAGAACGTTTGGATCGAATTTATAATAAAGATGTTCAATTTTACGTAAATACACGCGACAAAGTTCAGAAACAGTTCCTTGTCTTTCTAAATATTCCTGAACTTTATCTATTATTGTGGATACTTGTTTTTCATCTTTTAACCTAAAAGAGAAATCATAAATAATATTTTCAATTTATATTAAATATATATCTCTCTATTATATTAAATTTACTTTATTATATTAAATATATGTACCTCTCTACATATTCATTACTGTGTGGATCACATTCCTTTAATAATTTAGTAAATTCTTCATCCAAACGTTCCACTAACGTTAATACACATCCATGTATTTTATATGGTGGTGTTTCATACTCTTCTGCATCTTCAGATACTATTTCAGCTATTACCATATCTTTTGTGTTCAACAACATATCGAGCATTTCCGTAATACGTTCCAATATTCTATATAAAAATAATTAATTTATTAGTCTATATAAATAAGGATAATTTCTTTTTTATATATTTTCTAGAAATCTGAAATATAGTACCAACTTTGACCAATATTCAGGTTTCATTGCATCAGATACTTTTGGATTGTAATCAAAAATAGAAGATACAATAGAGAACTTAATTTTAACTGCTACTGCTGGTCCAAGATTATGAGTGTCCGCTATGGATTGCAATTCATGTAACAGCTCAATTTGTTCCCTACGATCGGTACGTTTTTTACCGCGAGCCGCGATAATTTCAGAAAGTTTTTTTAAAACAGCAGCCACATTAATTTCTGCATCCTTTGCAAACATTTTCGGTTTTTCAGATGGAATAGCTACACCGCCTTTAACAGTTTCCCATTCACCTTCTTCATCATCTTCGTCTTTTTTCTTTTTTCGTTCTTTTTCTTTCCGTTCCTTTCGCTGTTCCTTTCGTTTTGCCTTATCTTCTTCTTCCTCTTTATCTGTCACTCTATTTAAAAATATGATGATATTAATATAACATTATACATATATTTACTAATTATTTATTGCTTTTATTTGTATTTATATATATATATATATACTTTTTGATAAATCGTTCACGAATATTTTGATATTGGCCTTCATCTTCACTACTTGTGCTCTCACTATCCGAAGAACTACCCCAATCAGATTCACTTTCACTACCTTCTTCTCCATCAGCTACATTTTTCTGTAAAATTATAATTTTATTTAATTAAAATAGAGAAAATATCAAAACTATATTATATATAAACCTTAAATTTAGAAGTATCTGGTTCACTCGCTTCTGATCCTGCTTTTTTAAAAGCAACTGCACTATCTTCTTCATCCTCAAATTCTACAACTTCTTCAGCTAAAATTTTAATTAAAAAAATTTAATTAAACAATTAGAAAAATATTAATTAAATATAAATATTTGTAAATTATATTCACGTTTCTCTTCCTCTTCATCATCATCTTGATCTGGATTTTCTCTGAATTTTACTATATCTTCCTCAAAGTCTTTGTTATATTTACGAAGTTTTTGGCGTAATGAAGTCAATGATTTTGAATTATTTTTTGACATATTTTTACGACCTTCACGATCTTCCCATACTTCATTGATAAAATCTTCCATTTCTACTAAACATCTAATGTAAAAACGTGGAGTTTGACCACCTTCTTCCTTTGCTATTACAGGCAATGCTTTCTGATAAGCACGCATTAAATCTTCAAAACCTAAAATACCAATACAAAATACCAATACAAATAATTCAAATTAATTGAATATTATTTAATTTTATTCAATATTAAACAAATATTTACTGGATAACATGCTACTCATATCTTTGATTTTTTTGTAATTTCTTATGAGTTTGATAAGATTTGCAATCTCTTCATATCTTTTTTCTTTGGTTGATCGTACAACTCTCTTAGTTTCTTCCTCTTCATCACTGAACTAAAATAGTTTTATTTTATATTAATGCAATTTTAAAAATATAAAAAAAAATAAAAATAAAAATAACATTTAAATTTACCGTAAAAGCTGTAGTTGGTGCCCTTTGAACCTGTTCTTCCTCAGAAGCACTATCAGATTCAGAATCTGATCCAGTTGCGAAAAAACGACTCATATTTTAAAATAATACTGCATCAGAAAAAATAAATTTAATAAATATTTAATATTTTAAATTTAATAAAAAAATAATTTATTATTAATAAAAATATTTGCATATATTTGTTTATAAAATTTTATAATTTATAAAATAATGTTATAATATAAATTATATATGTAATTGCAAAAGCTTTTCTGTATATGTGGTGATTCTTAAACACATGGTGCACAATTTTGATCTAAGTTCACTATTATCAAACATGTATTTCTATTGACAAAAATTATTTAAAAATTCTTTAATTTTACTTATTTATTTATTTAAACTTACAAATTACACAATTCGTCGTACTTTTCCTTTCAAAGTATAAAATTACTAGAGGTTATAATGAAAATGATAGTAAAGGCTGATACGCTATAAAATATAATACATGGAATAAGAGGTGTTCCAAAAAAAGAACGATAAATTTTAAATACTTTTAGATGTTTTTATATTCAAATTAATATAAATGATATGAAATTACAATTATTTATATATAATTATTTATATAAATGTATTAATTTATTTTCTCAAGAAATAATCATTTTATCTAAATTATCATTATATATTTTTGATAAATATTAATTACGAAATACTTAAAAATAGCAATTTTTGAAAAAAATATAACATGTAAAATTGTTCTAAAATATCTTTATATTATTTATTAATTAAAATTGTTAATTAATAAAAATTTTAATTAATTATATTTTTATAGAAATAATTTTCAATTAATAATATAATAATAAGTAATAAAATAATAGAAAGATATAATTTTTTTTAATAAATACAATTGTAACTAATTAATAATGTTAAGTTATTTGTATTTGATTATTATTATCAAGTATTAGTTAATTTAACATTTTTTTATATTTTTGAAAAATTATTTAGGATGCATTGTGGAACGTATTATACTAACTTCCTGGGATCATTATAACAAATGCAATCCTTCTGTTGGTAGTCTTAAAAGGAGTAAGACTGTTCCGCGAAGGGAATAGACCGATTAAAATAATACGTATAGTACACTTTTTTTTATCAGGCTCAGCTTTAATCGGACATCGTTCACCATAGAAACAGATCGTGATTTTTCTATAACAATTATTATTTCTTTATATGTTCATATATGATATTGACGATATTATATTATATTATATCTATATTTTATAAGTAAGTGAGAAATATTGTAGATATACATATACATATATACATATCATATATATGTATATTTATATATATTTATTTACTTATTTTGTTTACAACCTACAAATGATATTGTTCGATTAATTGACCATTCGTTTATCCGACCAAGAGTCCGATTCCGTAGGAGCCGGTTAAAAGGAAGTATACTCTTAATATTAATATTTATTTTATTACAAAGATGTAAATTCGATAAAAATATAAAACGGCTATATATGAACATTTTGTAGGGATATACGCAAGTATATTTCAAAACATTCAACAATGTCTACTATTGAACAATTTAAAGAGTGAGTATAAAATAAGAATACATAATATTATATTTCATTCATTAAATGCTGCATAATTGCTTTTTTTTAATTTTTTAATTTTTAAATATTACTTTTTTTCAAAAATTATTTGAAAATATTTATTATAAATATTTTTTAAAGTTTTTAATAAAAATTTTATTAAGTCTTTGTTTTCAATAATTTATAAAATTACATAATTAGTTTAGTAAAAGTTTATATGATTTTCATTTAAGTTGATTATAATAACATCATCAAAGCATTCAACACAGAATTAAAATAAATACCTAGTTGTTCTAGGTGTGCAAAAATGCAAACTGCTAAAGAACTTTATGTTGGAAAACAATATAAAGAAGCATTAAAAGAATATAGTGAACTTATTGGTAAAGTATATTTATTTTTTGGATTAAGAATCTTACTTTAATTTCATGAGTTTATGATATTAATAAAATGAATATTGTTTTAGAATTATATCCAAATAAACCATTGCATTATGCAAATAGAGCTGCATGTTATATGATGCTTGATAAATATCCTTATGCTTTGGATGATGCAAAAAAATGTATTGAATTGGATGAAAAATTATACAAAGTATGTTATTTATACATATAAAAATATATTTGAAAAATATATTTAAAGGAATAAATATTTTTTTAATTCAATTCATTTATACTTAGGCATATGTAAGAATTATAAAATGTTGCCTGATTTTGGGAGATATTATTCAAGCTGAAACTACTTTATCCAAGTTATTAGAAATTGATCCTGAAAATAAAGGAATTACTACAGAGAAAAAAGACTTAGAATATGTGAAAAAGTTTCTTAAAGATGCTGATACTGCATATGCTGCTAAGGATTATCGTAAAGTTTGTAATTCTATTTTTAAATAAATTCTAAAATAATATATAACTTTAATAATTAAGTAATAAGTAATTAAAATCATATAACATAGGTTGTATATTGTATGGATCGTTGTTGTGATGTGAGTACTCGTTGTACAAGTTTTAAATTAATCAAAGCAGAATGTTTAGTATTTTTGGGAAGATACCAGGAAGCACAAGAGATAGCAAAGTATATTGTATTTTTTTGTTTCATAAATTTAAAATAATATTTTATATTATTCTATATTAATATTTTAGTGATATTTTGCATATTGATAAACAAAATGCAGATGCTATATATGTTCGTGCTATGTGTCTGTATTTCCAAGATAATATTGACAGAGCTTTTACACATTTTCAACAAGTACTTAGATTGGCTCCAGATCATGCTAAAGCATTAGAAATATATAAACGAGCTAAAAATTTAAAAAAGAAAAAAGAAGAAGGAAATGCTGCTTATGAAAAAGAACAATACCAAAAAGCATACAAATTATATACAGAAGCCTTGACTATAGATCCTCAAAATATTGTAACAAACGCAAAACTTCATTTTAATAAAGCAACAGTTGCAGCAAAGGTAATATATCTTCATTTCTTATTAAATTTTATTAAATAATAGATTTATGTACAGATTTAAATTTATTAATTTTACTATTTTAGTTATCTCGATTAAATGAGTCAATAATAGAATGCACAGAAGCATTGAAATTAGATAAAAATTATCTTAAAGCTCTCAAGAGAAGAGCAGCTTCTTATATGGAATTGAAAGAATATGAAAAAGCTGTTCATGATCTTGAGAAAGCATGTAAAATGGATAAAAGTTGGGGTAAATATATAAATATTTTTAAATAAATTATTTACATAATAAATTATTCAATATTAATTGACAGATAACAAACGATTATTAATGGAAGCCAAAATGGCATTAAAAAAATCAAAGAGAAAAGATTATTATGAGATTTTAGGAATAGATAAAAATGCATCTACCGATGATATTAAAAAAGCATATAGGAAACGAGCGATGGTACATCATCCTGGTAAGCTTGAAAATATATTTTCATTCAATTTAATTATATTAATTTATTAACTTAATTATATTAATTTGTCTTTATATAATATGTAGATCGACATCCTAATGCAACAGAAGGAGAAAAAAAAGAACAAGAAAAAAAATTTAAAGAAGTTGGAGAAGCCTATGGGATTCTTTCTGATCCTAAAAAACGATCACGCTATGATAGTGGACATGATATTGATGATACTGATGGAGGATATCAAGGTTAATGTAACTTATATATTTTTATATACAAAATATATAATATATAATTAAAGTTTTTTTTTACAGATGTTGATCCAAACGTAGTATTTCAAACATTCTTTAGTCAACATGATGGTTATCAATTCCGCACGGATGGTTTTACTTTTCATTTTGGTTAACAACATTCCAAAAATATTTCTTTTTCTTCTACTAACTTAATCTCTTAAAAAATCGTTTTATTTTAGAGATGAATATATTGGATTTGTTTATAATGGCAGACATATACATTAAAAACATTTTCTATTAATTAGATAAATTCTATTGATCGTTATATCATATAGAAAGGATAAAAAAGCATAAATTAATTAAAAAGAAAAATTAATTAATAAATTAATTTCTATCATAATTTTTTTAAAGCATCCATATATATTTAAGAAATGCAAAGAAAATTTAAATTAATTTAAATTTTAAACAGGATTACAATAACTTTAAACTATTTAATTAACATAATTCCTATATTTTGTGGATACATTCTTATAAATGATATATATATTTTTGATAAATATTATTTTTAATGATGAAAATGAGATTAAATATTATTTTAATTTATTTTTATAATATTTTGTCATTCTATCTTTTGTTTTAATAACTATAGTATATTTTGACATAGATTTTATTAAACATATACATATAAATCAATAAAATATCATGAATCTATATCAATTCAAAATATCTTAATAGATTTAAGTCGGATTTGTACCGCTTATTTTAATTTTCTTTTTCATTTAAAAATTGTTTATTATTTTTTACTATATGTTTTGGATTAAGAATTTAATTAAGAATTATTGATTTAATAAATTTAATTTAGGCAATTTTTTTCAATAAATGACATTTTGTTTATTTTTTAAATAAACAAAACGATTTATTGTTTTTTACTTCAATAGTAAAATGAATAGGTTCATTAACGATTATACTATTTCAAACAAAAATTGAATCAATTTCCTTTCATGATTGATTTAATATATTTTGCATTATATTTCTCATCAATATGATCCATTATAATATATATCCATAAATTTTGCTATTAAATCCAAGCAATTAAATCTTTATTAAATATAAATATGCTTATTAAATTAAATTTATCAAACATTATGGGGTATTCATATGATTTTATTATTTAGAATTGTAACAGTATTTCATTATCAATTGTAGTTTTAAACCAATTGATTCCTATTATGTGTCAATTATTATTTTTACAGAAGTTTTCTAAATATTGATATGTTTCATAATTTTATTGTGAGTTCTAAAGAGATATATCTAAGTTAAAAAGTATTTTGATATGTCTGTTTCTTAAGAAATTGTACTTAGCATCATTGTTTTTATATTTTTTTTCTTTAATCATGGTTTTAATTTTGTTACATCTGTTTAAACATACGAATAAGTCAATAAAATTTCATTGAAAAGTTACTAAATTCGAAAAAATATTTAATAATGTTTATAAGTATGTATCCATAATAATATCATAGACTTATAATAAAATATTTTTTACAGTTTTCAATATAAAAATTATTGAAATTATATAAATAACACAAATAAAAAATATATTATAAAAAATATAATAAATTGAATTATAAATATTGTTGATATATAGAGTAGTCCACTAAATATCTTTTTTGTGATGATTATATTTTATGTAACTTGAATGATATCAAGAAATTAATTTTAATTTTTGAAGATATCATTCGAATTATATAAAAAACATTTTTTGTGTCTTTACAATTGAAAGAGATATTTAGATGTTTTGATTTAGATGAATTATATATATAATAGAACTATATAGAAATAATATAATTATCCATATATATGTAAGTATATGTTTGCCACTATATAACAGATGCTATATATAATTAAGTAGTATAAATAATATAAAACTTATTCGAGATAGTTTTATATATTTATTTAAATAATTGTAAATATGTCTTATATGGTATCCTGATACATGTAGAATTTTTGGTATAAGTATGAATGAATATTGAAAATGACATCGAATATTCTTAATAGATATATTAATGAACTTGGATTGATAGATATTTATGAAAATTACATTTAAATTATTTTCTCTTAATTTTTCCATTCAGTGACATTAAAAAATTAGAATATAGTAAACTAAGTAATATAGTTCATAATTAACTTCCTGAGATTACTTTAATTTATATATGTTATATGTTAAGACATGTATATATATATGTATATATATATATATATATATATATACAATGTTTAAATTACTTTTGAAATGATAAACAATCTTATATAGTTCACATCTTTCTATATAAATATATATCATATTAAATATTATTATATTGAACAATAAATTAGAAGAACTTAAAGAATCATACTATCTATGTAATTATTAAAGTAGAAAATTAAAGAACTAACTGAATAAGAAAAACTATCAAATAATCATTTTTCCTTGGAATTTGGAAAACAAGAAAATAATATGTTAAATACCTTATTTATTCCTATCAAAGAATAACATTTTATATATCATAATCATTAAAATAAAAAATCTTGCTTGTTATTTTTATGCTTTATTTAAATATAAATTAATAATTTAAAAAAATTAATTGTTCAAAATAAATTACTTAATAATTTTTTTTTTTCAAAAAATAACAAGATTTGAAACATAATTAATCTTTAAATTACATTTATTTTTTTTTTTTCATTGTTTCAATTTAAAATTAAAATCTAATGCTTTTTAAATAAGTATCTTTTTAAGTACATACATTATAAGGCACACAATAATAGTTACAGCTTAAAAATATGAAATGAATGCAAAATTCTGGATATTATATCTAGATTAAATTAAATAGAAACGAATTTGAGACACACCATTTAAATATTTGATTAAAAACTTATGTAAAAATAGCACCTATATATTTGTCTTATTTTCAACAAGTATATGTATATATTTAATATTCTATTAAAAATTTACATTATTATCAAAATTTTGTATACTGTAATGTTAAATTACGATTATATAAATTATGATTATACATATAAAATAACACATTTTATTTTTATTTTCATTTTGATTATTCTGATATTTTAAAAATTTTATATTTTTTATATTAATATACTAATATTATTGAGCATATTATTGCATAATATACTAATATTATTGAAAATATTATTTAAAACAAATAAAAATATTATTTAAACACCTTTGAAGTATTTTAATCAATTTTTAAGTAACAATTTCATAAAAAATAAGTAATAAATTAAAAATTCCTTTTTTTTTGTAATTAAAAATAAAATAAAAGAAAATTTATGCTTCATAATATACTACGATGGTATACATTTTGAATAAAACCAAGTAAATTAAGTATAATGTTTACGATCTTACATGTACAGCATAAGTACATATTCAAGCAATAAGATGCTTGATAATATATACATATATACAAATAATCTAATATAAATCTTAATTTTGTGCTACAATAAAGCATTATATTAAGGCTATTTATTTGATTCATTATAGGATGCCCTACCCGCCAATTCGAGTAAATAACGATCAGGATGATCTATCCAATCACTAGCGCTTAATTTAACGATCCTTTGTTTTTCTGCTTCCTTTACTTGCCATTTTTTAATTTCCAATTGACGTTCCCTATAAAATTTCAAATTATTTTCTCTGCTGAAATCCATCAGGATTAATATTAAAAATTAATAAATTAATATTAAAAAAAATAATTACCTTAATTTTGTGTCTCCACAACCCCAGACTTCTAAACTAGCAATTGGATAAGGTGCACCTGCAATACTGACTGAATGGAATGATTCATCTATACTAATGTATGGTGAACGAGGATTACTTCCAAATCGTAATCCATGAGGATAACCTCTGATACTAGTATTTAAATATAATACTTTAACTCCTTTTTCAATAACTCTATATGAGGGAAAAAGTTCGATACCCATTGAATTTTCACTACCCCAATATAGATGACTTTCGCGCCATTCTACCGCTGAACATATGCAATATGTAGGGCACACAGTATCTTCATTTGAATTAACAGCTCGTATGAATAAAAGAGTGGGACCTCTATATCCTAATACATGATGAAGAAAACGATTAGCTCCTGTTCCATGTTCTGAGCTATTATACAACAATGTCCAATGTCTAGCACATACATTGCCCATTCTTTTAGCTATAAGAGCATGAGTAATATCTTTTGGTGAATCATCTGCCTAAATATACATTTATCTTGTTATTTTATAATTTAATAAACAATATATAAATTTTAAGTGAATTTATAATTATACCTGAAGATAACATTCAGGTAGCGTACTTGATAATAACCATACATAGCTCACAGGTAATAAAATTTGAGGAAAGTCTAAGGAATTTGGTTGTTCTAATATAGGTGTTGGTATCTCCAAATGTGGTTGAGGTTGTCCTTTGGATAAAAGAATTTCACCATTTCGATAAGCAGTTGTGAACACATGTATTATATAACGATGAGGACCATATATTATACGTGGACAATGTTGCCAGATCCAATTACTCGCATAACTCACAGATAAAGTATGTTTGCCATGAAACTATAATGTAATATATATTTTAATATATATATTTTATATTTAAATAGATTGTGAATAATTAATGTTAATTTACTGACACATGATACAACAGCTGCATTTATTATTTGATTTGCATAAATGCAGGAAGAAATTCCACTATTATCCATAGCAATATTGTAAGAAATATTTAATAAAGCTTTTAATCCTTCAGGACTTATACTTCCATCTGCTTTTATATTAGAATACATTTTTACATAATTCTCTAATACAGTGTGATCATTCATTACAGAAAGGAATTTTTCTGCTTGTTGCTTAAAAGAATTGGTATTCAAATACGAAGTATTAATATTGGCAGAATAGTGAAGATAATTAAATAACTTTTCACCTAACTCTAAATAATTAGGAAAGAGATAACGTTGAAATACAGATACTGTAATGCCATTTATATGTTCTTGTTCATGCGTTAAATGAGATAGAATCTGGAAAATGATTAGTCTAATTAATAAATATAATTGTTTAAATTAATTTTATTAGGAATTTTAATTTTTATTAGGAATTTATAATTATATTTTATTTATAAGAATAAAAAAATATAAAAAGCAATTATATTTTTTATATTTTGAAAATCAATAATGATTTAAATTTTTTATTAAAAAAAAATATTACAAAAACAATTTATTTATAGGTTACAATTTATAATAATCGTCAATGTAAACATTATTCAAAAATAAATGGATCAGAAAATAATTATTTAGAAATTATACAAACTGATTTGCATTTTCAAAATATAAAAGAATTGTTTACAACAATGAATATTTTCAAAAGACGATCAAAATTTTGTGCGATATATCGAATATTTGTTAAT